CCCCCCCGCCCCACTGCAGAGTGGAGAGATTGGAGAAGAAGAGATTTCAAGAGTAATCTGTTTGTTTAGCACTCCCGCAGCTCCCAACCCCAGGCTGCTGGTGCAATCGCATTGCTTTTGATATGTACAAGACAGTATGCAGGCACTGGAGCATTCTAAAGGGTGGAGGAATGGTTAGGAGCTGAAGGAGTGAAACTGACTAGTCTTGTCTCTTTCCAGTCAGAAAGCACAGTCACGGTCACGTGATTTCCCACTTAGCGACCACTTCACTTAGTGGTAGAGCTGCCGGTCCCAATTAGGGTTGTTAAGCGAGAATTATCTGAGGAGCTGTCTTGCCGTCGTTATATCCGCCTGCCCCCCTCAGTCTGGCAGAAGGGGCAGGTTGCAGACCCCACCAGTCAAGGAATTTTGGCTGGCGGGGTCTAGGAAGAGGGCCTTTTCTGCTGTGGCCCCCACCCTGTGGAACAGCTTGCCACCTGAGGTGCAGGCTGCCCCCACTCTCCTGGCCTCCCGAAAAGGTGTAAAAACATGGCTATGCCAGATGGCCTGGGAGCCTGATGGGAGCTCGCATTGTTGGAATTGGCTGGTGGGATGATTGATACTGCTCCCCCCCATCATCTTGAATTGTATATAGGCTTTTTATATAGAATTGTTACTGGTTATTTTAATATGGATATTTATATTTTTATTGTTTTTATTGTTTCGGATTGTAATTGTAAACTGCCCAGAGTCACCCTCTGGGGAAGATGGGCAGCATATAAATTTAATAAATAAACAATCTACCTGTACTGATTCTGGGAATCCCTGCCCAGTTTAGTGGTCCTTGCGGAGGAGCCCATCTAGTTGCAGTGGAAAAGCTTAACACAGAGGCCTATGGTGAATCTGTGCCTGTGGCACTTTCTTGGATTATTTGGGTGCTGCTCTTGATCAATGAGTTGCAGTTGGCAGCCTAAATAAATTATTTTCTACATGAATAAGAAGGAACTAAGAAGCACATACCGTATTTTTCTGACAATAAGACGCCCCCATGTACAAGACGCCCCCCACTTTTCCAGCCCAAAAT